GTACTAAGGAAGACTTGGGTTTCACAGAGCAACCTGCTCTAGCTGATCCTACTTTGAACACGCAGGGTGGGAGTCAGAAACACTTCCTTTCACAACTATTCTATGATTCTTTGATCTTATCTTTAACTCCCAGTAAAGACCTTTGATATGCAAAACTGATCAGCTTTAAAAGCTATATTAAACTTAACATCTTTAATTGAGACACTGGATTTAAAAATTAAAATCTTTGTATTTCTTAAATACCAATGCTTTCTATTTACATCTACCTTCCCTTATAGGGAAAAAAAAAACCACAAACAGAACTTTTATGGTTTGGAGTACATTGATATCAAGGGTCATCATCTCTTAGCTCCAATTCAGACACTTCATACACCATCACCTGCAGTTCTGCTCTGCAGGCAAAACTGACTTGCCTAGCTTACAGCCAGCAGTTTCATTAAGAACAATGAAATTATTGTTTGCTGAGCTTGTCGTGATTAATCAAGTGAAATTTGTCTCAAATGCAAGGAATTTAACCAAAGAATAAAAAAGCATGGATAATTAGGCTCTTAAAGAAGAAAATTTACTGTAATATATGGTACCCTTGCACATAATTTCTTTATCCCAAACACCACTGTCTCAATTCAGTGAATGCCATGCAACCAGAATTTTTAATCATCTCTTATTAGTGGCTGTCTTTGCCAGGAGCTGAAGAAGAACATAGCTTTCACTGAACTCTTCTAGGTACAATTTATTCTGCCACTTCATTTTGCAGGGAGCCTGATTTATTTGACATCAATAGTTTGTTGAGGTAATAAACCATGCAGCAATGATACCATGACTCAGAGCTCATTTGCTAACAGTCAACTTGCTTGGCAGCATGACAGGCAGAGTAATGTGCCTTGAAGAAGTGTCTGTATAGATGCCACAGAGATTGCCAAACAAATACAGAGCCACAAAACAACTTTATCAACTTGTTTTGATTGACTGATTGTGCTCAGCTTCACTTTGAGCACAAAGATTAAAAAAAAAAATCTATATGCAAGCCAAAAAGCTACTCCATCACAACAGATTTGTAACACACCCAGGCTATTTTACACTACTGCTTCCTTCCAAGATAGGGTTGTCCTCCACAAGCTTACAGAAACCACACAGTGTAGGAAGTAAGGGAACCCTCCTCTTCAGGTAAACATCAATACTCAATTTAGTATAGCTACTTCCTATAACAGAAGTCCAAATTTTTTTTCTTACCTGAGTTTGCAAGAGTGATAAAAGAAGTTTTATATGCCAATGGCACTATTTAAAAACCCTGCTCTTCTGAGAACTCTGTTCTTTTGAGTAACATCAGTAATCAAGCATAAAATGAAATAAAACTTTTAAAAGGCAGTGGGGATTTAAGAAAAAGACTAATTTAGACTTTTCTCTCTGGAAATACAGGCATATAATCACATTTTTTTCCTAGTTGCATTAAGGCAGCATATGTCTTTTTTGTACCAAACCAACTGAGAAGGCTACAACAGTTTAAAAATGCTTATGAATTATCTTTTTCAGCCTCTCTACTTAAATAGCAACCTTTACAAATCAGCAGATACTAGATGATTCCTATCCTTCTTTCTCCCTATACCTCTGTAGGGACATAACACACCACACCCCAGCCCCCAAGATTAAATGTATTTAATCCTTATTTAGAAGTACAGTAAAAAGTGATAGGCACTACAGGTAAGGAAATTGCAGTTCTCTTTTCACTCCATTCCTGTCATTACAAAATACATGCTCATTAAAGGCCTTTACATTTAAAAATTCATATTTTAGGAAGGATAATCTATCAAGTTATTTTTCTACTTATACATTCATTGTTTGAAGTCATGCATTGAGTTCTATTCAGGCTCAGCCTGGAGTGTTACAGGGAGTTATCAAAGTGGATGAACTCGTAATAGCAACTTAAAGCAAATACTTTTAGAAGACATTCACAAGGATTACTAGCAAATTCCTTCACAGCAGTTAACTTCAACAAGTGCTTCTTTTTCAAGTAATTAAAGATAGATAATTTACAATCCATTTACATGGTGATTTTTGTAATCACCCAATCTCCAGCATACAGAAAATCACTACCTGGTGCTAGTCAGTGTTTCCATTCACAATCTTCAGAATACAAGTTTGATTTCTAGGTAAGCACCAGAAAAATCATGACATTCAGCATTATTAAACACCTGACTGACAAATTAAGTGCCACAATATTCATGCCAATGGCATTAGTTTACTCAGATGATCAATACTGATTTGGCTCTAATCTGAGATTTTTTAGATAAAACAATCAAATCTCCTCCACACCTCCTTTGCTATGTCTCCCATTGTTTGTCAACCCCATAGTAAGGAGTGAAGGCAAAGGGGAGCCTTCCCCTCAGTCCTGGCTCTAGCTTGGAGCATAAGGGAACTTATTGAAGCCTAACATTCCAAAATTCCAAGAAAGGTATGACCAGGAAGCCCCTTCACAGATACCAGACAGTTACAACCAAAGTTTGTTTACTCAAATTCAAATATCTCTTTCCATTAGCATGTTCAAACAGCTCACATACATGGGCATAGGAACAAAGAACAAAGAACTCTATGTCCATCAAAACAAACAGAACCACAGAATAGCAGACACAACAGCTACCATGAAAGGTAAAATGCTTTGGAGAAGACAAAAATTTATCTAAAACCTCTCCTCACTTAGGAGGGTAAGGAAGCTTGTATAACCAGTGCAAAGCAACTGAACTGATAGCATTTAAAAAAAATGTAGTTTTCTCTTACTTGTTTAAGCAATTTTTAGAGAGGCCTGAGAACTTGAGGAGCTATGTTAGCAGGTAGGGAAAACAGCAAGGAGAGCAGTAATGTTTTTCCTATCTATACACTCAAGAAATCTGCAGGACAGCCAGCAGGGCAGGGAAAAGAAGGAAACTTAGGTCAGTGAATAAATTTAGATAATAGATGAATATGTTTTCTACATAAGTGCTTTTCCAATACAAAATCCATTTACATCACATATAGGTATTTGAAGTTTGACTCCAAGGTTAAGATGTTCATTGAACAATGCAGGAAACCTCTAAATAGAACTGCCAGCCAATGGGTCCCTCTACAATACAAAAAGTAAATCCCAAACCTGGGGCTATGCAGGTATATACAAGTACTATGATTAGTTGTACACACATCCCCCACTAAAACATTGACATTCTCCAGTCCTGAGGCCATCTGGTACCAGCTGCACTCTGCTGTACAGTACTTAACCTTCTATCTCCCCTGGGCTCCATAAGACACATCCATAGCCTAAAGACAAACACTTAGGTGGGGAGAGGAGTAATTCACATTGGTTTCTATTCAGACTGCCAAACAGAAAGCTGTAAGTGGCATTTTGCTGACAGAAAATGAAGTGTACCTGGTGCATTCCTTAGGTACAGGCATCATTACTTCTGGGATACTCCAGCAGTGGAGGGAGCAACCTTCTGTAATCTTGCCTGTATCACCTACTAGAGGTGACTCCTGGAGCTTCCTATACAGCATCTACACACTGTCCACAATTTAAAGTAACAAATGACTCCTACATTTTCTTTGTCTTCCACTGAAAGAGGAGTTTTTTAGCTTTATCCAATGTCAGACTAATTCATATGGTGACAAAGCAATATAAGCTCTGTAATCAAATCTCAGTTTCCCCTCCCAGCTGTGCAGTAACAGCTGTGCATAACACAGCCAACATCTCAGCAGATCAGGCCATGCAGTTAAACCAGCCGGTATGAATTAGGAGGATCAGGAATTAGTGTTCCCTTGCCACAGTGCAGGAAATCTGCCTACCTGTCTCACACTATTAGGAATGTAAACCACTGCTGGATTTCCATTTTTGAGAAGCCTGCGTACCTTGTTATGGTAAAGACCAAAGTGCTCCTGACTGGCACCTCCCTTTGCTGCATTTAACCACACTAACAATTTCTTTTAGAATATTAAGTAACTTAAGTTCTAGCTTACACTGTTGAATGATTAAAGAGAAATGTACATGAACAAGTTGCTTTACAACAACCAGTAATCAGGAAGCTGTTTGTCTATAAACCAACTATCCAACCAATGAGGTTCTTTCACATCCATAGTAGTTTGAATACATGAGGCTTTGAAGAAAATCTTGAACATAAGAGCTTAATATGGGATATTTTAAAAGACAATAAAATTACATTCACTATCACAGGACAATTCAGCAGAGTATTCTAATAGGTCAGATCATGAACTAAGGCTGCCCTGGCTTTGTGTTTTCTGTGTAAAGCAATTTTCCTCTTATTTTTCTACCAGCATTTTTCTCACAGGCTCACATACTTCAGGAACCTATTCAAGCAAGGATTTTCAATTTTACTAAACATTTATGCAGGAATTAACACAGTGGGAATCTAATTTGTTTCTGATCTCTAGGCTACTGGAATAGTAAAACATATGCATACAGTAATAAATGTCTTCCCTGCTTTTAAGAAGGACTGAAAAAGAGAAACAATGTTTTCTATATGGATTCAGACACTGCTAATATAATCAAGCATTCAAACTTAAAATAATGCCATATTTGTTTCATAAACCTAAGACAGCACTCATATTGATATAAAAAATAAAGGAATTATAAGGACTTAGTTCCTTGAGAAATTTCTCAAACAAATTGTCTTCTGCTCAGACATCTTCCATCTACTAGCGTTGGCTGTTTTCAAACTACATTTGTCAACACCCAGAAATACTTAAGATTAAGCAATGATAAAAAAATAAGAAAATGTAAACACAAAATATGTCTCAGTGGGGTATTATTTTAATGAGCTTTAAATATTTCAAAAAGCTGGCAAAAATTCCCAAATAAGCCATCTTCTCACCTGAAAATAAAACCATGGTTAGAGAATTCAAATACTGAAATGTTATTATACAATTAGAATTATGGTATATATGCACAATTACAAAAAAACCTCTCAACAGCAGCATTCTTGTAAAGGCAAAATGAAATAAATTTTAGAATAGAAACTTACTTGTGCATATTTTCCACTCCTATTATGATCATGATATAGTAGGAAATTCCACTTTGTACAACAAAATGTAAGGCATACCTAGGGGGGGAAAAAAGTAAACCTTCATAGCATTTTCTTTAATGACAATCAACTGCATGCATTCATTGTGAAATTAAAGAGGTTCAAAGTTTAAAGCCATCACAGCTCCCAAAGAAAATCCCCCTTTTATTCTAACTAAGCTTTCTGCTACCCTTCCTTCTGCTGAGAACTTCTCCCTTTAGCATGGCATAGAGAGCAGTAATGAACAAAAACTAAACACCTAGCTAGAATGCTCCAGCTCAGTTGAGGATATTGCAAATGTTTATTTTTCAATTCTTAAAATACAAAGAATATGTCTTCTAATACTCCCATTTGGCATTATTTCCTGAGTAAATAACTGTAAACATGAAAGTTTTGTGGTTTAATTTCCATATTCATCATTCTACCCATTTACAGCAATAGATATTTCAGATAAGGCTAACAATTTCTTAGTATCCACAATATTGTAAGATTTCCCACTCAACAGAAACAGTGACTGTGTCCAGCCAGTCTCTTTGTCCCAGGTTGTCAGGAACTTTTAAATGGATGGTAGTGATGGTCACAAAAAACACACACACCAAAAAAAAAAAAAGAGCCCTACACATCAACAAGCCACAGATTTCACAAAGGTGTTCTAAGCTCCTCGTTTGTTTTCCACATTTACCACCACAGCTATCCCAACACCATTGCTTTGGGGGTTTGTTTTGGTCTTTGAAGAAATTATACTTCAGTAAGCTGTACAGCACTTTTGTCAAAGCAGTGCCAGTGAATGGGGAAAAGAGCTGATCTTCAGTAACTTGATTTTTCTTTCATTCTGGTACCTTAAGTACCTCAGTACCACATGTACATATGCTCAAGTGACACAACTCATCTAATTCGGGAATTTTTTTTCCCACAAAAAACAGCCTAAAAAGCAGCTATTTTGCTACAGTGATGCTGTTTTCTTTCAATTTATCACCAACAATTTCCTAATTCCCCATCTCCTCTACTCACAAGGAAATTACTTCAAAGATTTCCAACAAGAAAACCAGTTCTATCCAACTAAAATTCTTCATCCTACACATGAGAAACTGAGGCAAAACAAGTCACTTGGACATGAATTAACCTTGATAAATCTTGACGTTTTACAGAAGAGCCAATCTGTACATGCGCCTATGCTTCACTCCTAGTTAAGTCTCATTTAGGATAGGACTACCTAAAATTCAAGTGTGCATTTTAATGTAGTAATTGTCAATTTTAAAAGTATTTACTTACTTTTCTTATCTGCCAAGTATTAGCAATATTGTATAGCAAAGACAGGCATTAGTAAAATGACAAAAACTTAAGAGGTTTGTTCTTATACAGAGAAAGGAGACTAAGGTATCAAAGCCTAAGAGAGTGTGGACTGAGAAGGAGGACCATACCAGGATTACAGTCAAAACATTTATTTCAGAGCTGTTAACAATAGCAATATGTTCTTTGATTCAAACATTCAAAGGGATATATTCAGATACTACAGAGAATAGTGATTTTTAACTAAATAAAAAGGGTACATATTCTGGGCCTTTTATGCTATTAGTGCTTCTCTTCCTTTCCTCTATCATCATCACAAGTATTACAAAAGTGACTGAAAACTAACACACTTGAAGATTACAACATAACTACTTCAAAATGTCCTTAAAAGGGTGCAGATTACAAACTACTTCCCACATTTAAATGGGTATGATTTTATCTACAAGTTACTACATTTACTAGTAACACCATACAATGAAACGGTAACAGTTTCCCTCTTATTACATATGTGTCATGGATCGTGCTATGTCATTTCTTTATAAGAAAAGTCATAGCACAATCCAAGAGTCACTGAAGATGTACCAGGGGCTTGTAACCTGCATGCACACTTGATTTCTTGAAAAGGGGGAACCAAAAAAACCAAAACCACCAAAAAACCTGCTTGTATAACATGTGCTTAATAAAAAGAAAAAAGCAATGGCAGAAGTACCAATTTTGAAAGAATGTGTACTTTCAATGTCTCAAATTATGTTTTCATCATTTTTAAGTCGTTTTCAGCTCAGTAACTGCGAAATAGAAATTAATTGCTAATATAACAGATTCAAGTAAGATCCAAAGCAAACTAGAATAATGTGGATTTCTACTACAGCAGAAAGCATTTTTTTTTTCCAGGGCATATTGCCAGTGAGAAGTTTCCCACAAAATTTTATTTATGTCTGTTGGGAGTAGAGGTTGTTTCTTTCCAAAATCTCCCATACCCAAAATTCATATGTGAATATATTACTAGCCCTTTCTAATTACAAGTTACAATTAATGATTTATGCTTCTCTAAAGCAATGGAAACAGAATGTGCTTCTAAGCTTACACAGCTCTCAAAAAAATCCTCACGTGGTACCTCCTATCTCCCATATCCTCCTCTTTGTCTGTGGTGCTAAGACTGGAAGCCTTTGAGATCAGATCTTTCTCTCAAAGCAGAATACCATGGCCACATGTTTAAGATATGGACGGGTGTACTAGAGTTTTATATAAAAAGTAAATCATGCATGTAAATCTAAAGAATAAGGGCTACTGATTTCCTTTCCTAAAATTTAAAAACAATATATATCAATTAATGCTGGGAGATCTCCACAACATGCCAAAGTACAGGCCAACACACTCTGCATGTGCAGAGACAGATGCATGCACATGTGGAGCTTCCCACCTGCACAGCAGCTTGATGAATTCCCCCTAGTTCAGTAATACTCTATAACAGTCAGCATAAATAAGTCTTATACACTTGAAGCTAAGTAAGCACCTTGTTTACAATGCAATAAAATGAAACTGACACTCACACCACCTTGGGAAGATGCGAGCCATTTAGTAAGTTATTTTTTGAAGAAAAAAATATTCACCAAACTAAATGCATACCCTTTTCTAAGTTTACTAACATTCTCCCTTGCTACACTGTCAAAAGATCAAGATATGAAAACAGCAGTCAGACAAAATATGTTCGAAATAAAATCACATCTTCCCTCCAAATCATTAAGAAAAAAAACCCCATGAAACAGTCTGAAGTCAAAGCCAGCTCTTTTCCAGGTGTTTTATACTACTAGGAGTGTCACTAGATATACTTCACAGTTCCAGCAAGTCTTCCTTAAAAAAGTTACATTATATTCAATATTCAGAAAAAGAGACTGAGTTATCTCATGCCATGAGTATTTATGGGGAATTATCCTAGTCACTGCATCTGTGCTGTGCCTGAAGAGAATACTTCTCCAGCAAGTTTACAGAAAAAAAAGCTGTAGAAGTTAAACAAACTGCACCTGCTTCATCATCCCAAAACCACAGGCAGCCAATTCACAAACCAGTTCACAAACAGATGATCTTTCAAAATTTATGCACCGCATTAGAATATTTAAGATTAATTCTGCACATTTGCAACAGCTAAAAACCCCAACAGAATTAGGCAATAATGTTTTTCATAACACAAAAATAAAAATTTACAAGTTCCTGAAAAATTAATTTAAGTGCAACTTACCATCCAAAACAAAAAAGTGCAAGATAAAGGCCCAAGAGTGTTGCAACAACATGTCTTATAAATGGGCTAGTTTTGCTTGAATGAAGGTATGTTCGAAACCAAATAGCCGCAAGCAAGGCAAACAGTTGGCACACTACAAAGTTGACCTGCATAAAAAAAAGAAAAGAAAGAAGAACTCACACAAGTGTGCATTTAAAATTAGCAGTAATATCTACACATTTTTAACAGTTCGCAGAACCTGTAGCTTTGCCATGGCTTTCACCACAGCATGTCTAAGAGCTTCTCCCGTGAGTCCCTCTCTACCAAAGCACAAACCAGTGCCCCCCTGAGCAGCTCAGAGGAAAAGATGCATCAAACACAAGGCACTATGTGCATAAAACAAGAAAAGAAAATGACGTCTTTTGCTGTAGATTTTCTGAATATCAAACCACTATCAACCATTGAATCACCTTACTCTCCCAGTAATGTGAATTTCTGAGCTACAGTTTTATTTGTTTTTTTAAGTGAGCAGGACTTGAATTAATAGATCAGCTCCAAAAATCACTGACAGATCACTTCCGTAGCCTGTGCAGAAGCAGGGCTCAATGAAATGCATTTCAGTGCTATGCAATCAGATAAACAGCTTGGTTGCACACTGCATTTTCTTCTTTTACATTCAAGTAGGATACTTTCAGAAATTCTTCCTCCCTCCAGGCCATTTATTCTAGAAGATTGAAAATTTCTTGTATATTAAATATTTAAAGACATTAAGGCACTGAAAGCAAAAGCAGAATTTAATAAAACTGAATCAGTGAGTAGAAAGAATTGTTCTGATTATGGCCTGAAAAAAAATGTAACAGTAAGGGTAAAATAAAGAAAGAAAATCCTCAAATATAGCAACCACTACCAAAAGTAGTAGTTAAGCTACAAAAAGCTGGATAAATTATTTTATTTAGAAAGTAACATTTCTCACTTCATAGATTTTATTTTTTACTCACATAGAAAATTGCCTAACAATTTTCCATGTCTAATAGTGGCATCCCAAGTCATCACAAGCAACAGCTTGGGAACCAGTGCTTCAGGTCCTAAGCACTTCAATAAAAGAAACTTGTACATCCTGCATGCTTCACTGATCCTCTGCACAACAGTGTTTTAGACTGTTTGACGGCACTTAGCTGAAATACATACTTAAATCTTAACACCACAGGGTACAATGACAAGATTATTTTTATGTTCGTGACAGCAAGCCTAATATTGATGTTTGCAGCAACACAGTGCACACTTGCAGTGCCATAATTCAGCTTGTCCATTCCTTTATCATTTTTCAACCAAGTTTCAGGCCATAATAGGTAAAGGTCAGAGTACGCAAACATGGCCATTTTTAAAGTAGCAATTAAAACAACAACTACAGAACACTCATTCTTGTAACAACTGAACCTCTCCAAAACCTGTAACACCAAGTTAAAACATTAAGTGCTAGCAGGGAAAGAGACTCAAAAGGCAGGGCTGTCCTTTTTAATAGGCACAGTTCCCTAAATTTAACTGTCCCTTAAACTGTCACATACACTTCTCCATCCGTTCTCTTACTACCACATTTCTATTATGCTTTTAACAGTATTTGAAAAATCCTAAATAAATGAGGAGATATTCTTTCAGGGCATAACTTGACCTGTTTTCTCTTCTTTATAAGCAATGATGCAAATGAAACAGAGCGAAGTTTATTACTCAAGATGATTCTATGGATTTAGTGGAAAAGTTTCATACAAAACAGTCAAGTGAACCATTGAAAGGGAAACAAACTAATAATGTTTCAGAAAAAAAGAGTAAGGAAAAAAATTAAAACAAAAAAATATTATTAATTCAGTATCAACATTTGTATGAATACTTGTTACAGAAATTATACTATATAACCCACAAAGCATATTTCTGACCCAAAGAACTCACATGCTTAACAGCCTAGAAGGGGTATGAGACAGATAAGGTTGCACATTCAGATACATAGTGAAGTTGAGTTACAGAGACAGAGGGAAGAAATGAGCATGAACACCTGTCCTGAAATGGACACACTAGCTAGTTTTAATGTCTGAATTCCCAGACATTAGTGTTTGACTGCAATATAGATAATTTACCAACTGGTATCACATGGTGTCCTTCTTTTTCAGATTAGCACTAAAAGCAAGCTAGCAAGACCCAGGGAAAAAGAAAAGTCATCATCTGGCTCCTACTACTATGAAAAGGGTAGAAGTGCTTGGCATTTCTGGCCTGTATCATCAACTCTATAAGAGGAGACACTAACAAAACAACAAACCTTGAATCTCACAATTCAGGATGAGCATACAAGTTTAGAAATGTTCAAAATCCTCACACAAAACACAAAAAGCAAACCTGAGAAAGGATTCAGCAGGTAGGGAGTGAAAAAGGGGTACCTTTCTTGGGCACTTGCTTTTTGTTTAGCTACTTACTCTAATGATCAAATCTGTATCTGAAAAACAGCATTCCATTAATTAAAAAACAAACAAACAAAACCCCATTAAAAAAAAAAAAAACAAAACAAAAAAAACACCAGAACACCTTCTCCAATAAGAATATTTTGAGAACACCAATAAAATGCAGGATAACATACCTTAAGATCAACCCCAAAAGCCAACTTCCAGGGATGGGAATTTATTATGTCACTTTTTCAAACACAAAACTAAGTGACACAAGCAGCACAAACCTTTTCCAAAAGCCTTCCTCACAAATGAATCCAAAACTGCCAGTGGGTATTTTTCAAGTGCTCTTCCCAAAAAGAGGGCACAAACATATACAATACTTGGAAATCTAAGGCATCACCACAATAGTCACACACCACCTTGCATCTCTACTCTATGCTTACCAATCGTATTCTTATCCTTGTCTCAGTGCACCAAAGTGCAGATTACAAAGCATCAAGAGTTCTGCAGAGCTTGTAAAGCCCCAGAGCTTTAAATACATATCTGTAAAACCAAGCTATGCAGTAGTTAAGGTTTGAAAGCCATGCAACCTGAGTTTAACCTTTATACATACCTACTTCTGACTGTATTCTTTCTGCTGCTTTATTCTGTTTTCTTCAGTAGTATTTCTGATTCATTCAGCAAATGGACAATTGCCCAGTTTTTGCCCTCATCCTGTGACCCATTAAATGCTTACCATCTGCATTCTACACTGAATATAAAAACTTTACATTTTATGAAGTTCTGCCCATAACATGGTAAGACTATATACAACAAATGCAAACTTTGCAATAATTTCATAAGATCAGTATTCCTGTTCTAAAGGTAAATGAGGAGCGCAAACATTATGAAAGCCCCGAGGATAAAATAAATGCCCACTAACTTGGCTGCTCAATTTCACATACTCAGTGCCTAGTTTTTCAGTCAGTGCTTTTAACAGAACTTCAACTGCAACTGTACTTTGAAAATATAAATTTAGCTGCTATTCTGATTATCCAGCATGCCTATAAATCAGGCCCAAAGTATCTCAAAATGCAAGCAAAATTTAAAGTCATCACTACAATCTATTTTTTTTTTCCCCTATTTTTCTCCAGTTCACAAAAACCGTCTGGTTTACTAGTGATTTGCCTTCCAAATAAAGAAGCCCATATGGAAGAGTTTGTGAGCACTGCTAGGCAGTGTTAGAGTCACAGAGGTAATCATCATCTGACAGTGATTCTGACTTTCGAGCATCTGCTATCACAGGTTATATATTCACTTGGCATATATCTTGAATACTTGACTACTTACATTTTAAAAGAAAACACAGAATTTCTACAACAAAAATCAAAACTTAGCTGTGGCTTTCAGTCCACAGCACTCATTTCTACCACTTGTACTCACTTCCACATGGAAAGAAGTTTCATCCCTTGCCAATACTACAGGAAGTAGAATGAGAAACAGACTCTGCGGGCTCCTAAATTCCAGTGCATGCACTTCCAACTCCAGCAGCGAGATAATTCGTGCATCTCCACAGTGGCTTAGTTCAGATCAGAGGGGGCCCCTGAAGCCTCCCAGTTATCTGCACTTCATGTGCTTTGCAAGTTCTGTGCAATGGTGTCTGGATACACAAACCTGATTGCTTTAAAACTAAACTGAACTAGAATATCTGTTCCAAATGTAAGTGAACATTTAGCCCACAGACTAACCTAGGCAAAAGCAGTATTTCCCAAAATTACTACAGCACCCATGCTGGATCCTCAATGCCAACCACTTCATCCCACAGATACACTTCTTTCTGTACTGCACTACTTGGCTTAGTAAACAATACCAAAATTTAATTTTCAGCCTTTTCCTAACTTCATCTCTCATCTTAAGCCATGCTGAGCAGTGTGGAATTGACAGACAGCTTCATTGTATCCACACAATGAGACAGATGAAGAACTTGTCTTCACATACACAGCTTGCCTTGAAAGGGTGACAAAAATTATCTGGCTGTCTAAGAGACAAAAGGAACAGACAGCAAATGAGCAGGAACAAGGGCAGAGCTGGACATCACCACCTTGAAAGCTTCCATGAAAACCAGGCACTCAGCCAAGCAGTGATTTTGTTGGCAAATGTTATATATACAAACTTCAACATTGGGAATAGTATACTTGTGTACCTTTTGAAAGCTTATGTCAAGCTCTTATAATATTGTGAGTATGGGCAAAACACAACTTTCTAAATACCATATGACTTGGCCAGATGTGAGCAGAACAACCACAAAGACAACACGTTCCCTAAAGCTGTACAATGCATGCTTCACACCTAATTTTAATGTTCCTCCATGAGGTCATAAAACCTGTTCCAATAAGGAGCTTCAATTTTACAGAATATTAAAAAAACCTAACCAAGATCTATTTAAAGCTGAGCTGTCATGGGCGAAAAAAAAAATCTTGACGTAGAATGGCAAGTTTCACCCTGAGCAGTTACAATTTAGCACATGTATGAGAAAAACAGAATTTTTTATTCCTCCTCATGTACAGGATATCAACAGCTTGGCCAATTAGAATAACACCTCAAAATCTTAGAGAGAGAGCAATGTGTAATGGAAAGTTATGTGAAAATAAGAATAAAAACATGCAACTATAATGTAAATTATCACCACTAGTTATTCAGAAATGGATGATGCGAGTGTGTGTTACACATACTAAGCTATTACAGATCCTGCTGTG